ACTCCAAGGAAAACATACATATTTTAATTTTCTCCCCCTTAGGAAGATGTCATTAGTCTCCTGCAGAAAGAAATGCTGTGAAAGAAATTTTCTTCCTAGGATTAGTGACCTAAATTATAATAATTAATAAAAGCTTGAGTTATTGGTGGTGTGCTTTCCCAAATTCTACTGGAACTGTTTAATGTTTTTATAACTTGAACTTTTTTTTTGTAATTCAGAGCATGGCCTTCCACATATTGTTCAAAATCTACTTTTTCTAATCTTAAATGACTCAAGTAAAAAATTTCCCATATACTTATCTATTCATCAGGAAAAAAAAAGAGTTAGGCTGCCATTGTTAATTTCTCTAGAATCTCCACATTTTTTTACCTATACTTGTGTTGATTTAAAAAAAAAAAATACTGAACAGTGATCCAAAATAGAATTGGCAAAATCACTGGAATTCCTACTGCTGTGATTGATTTAATTCAGCCAAAATTTATTTGAAAATGCTTCCTAAACTTTATGAGAAATAGTTTGCAATCCTGTTCCCATTATAGCTCAATGTTTTACCTCTCTATTAGTGCTTTCACAAAGCATGCTCTTAGCTAAATATTGCACAGTGGTGTCTTCTTTCTTTGTAGTTGAATCTTCCACTATTTTTATATTAAAGGTTCTGTTCAGTATGTCTAAGTTATCATCTGTAGATACCTGGATGTCTTTTTTGGTGTTTGTTTGTTTGTTTAATTATTTATTCCCTCTGCCTGTTGTGTAGTTTCATTTTTTGAATTTATCTTCAGAGTTTTTAGTTAAAAACTTGGACTCAGGTACTTAAGTGATGCAATATTTTTTTTCAAAAAAAATCCATTAGAAAACCCTTATAAGAAGAAAGTAAAGTATGTTCATTAAAGTATAAATAAAGAATTTAATTCTAGTCGCGTGAATTGAGAATGATATATTCTCAAACATGAGGGGAATGTAATGTTTAATATCAGAACATACCAAAAAAATGTGGAAAATCCTGAAAATGTAAAGTATATTTTAAACAAATTCAATAATATTTCCAAATTACTATTTGATCACCATAAAGCCTCTAGACTTGCTCTGAACAAAAGGGCCTTTCCTTCTTACAAACCAAATTAACCTCTCACACTATTGGTTTAATTTCTAGTAGATAAAGTTTGTTTCAAACATGGAAATCCATGGCAGTCTAGTTAAAGAAACATTTTGTCCCCAGTACTAATTGCAAAATCTTCTGCTTGTCCAATAAATAAAATTCTAAGAACACTGAGTTATTATTTAAGCTTTCAATTAATTCTAGCTTCATACACTTCAGAGACTATAAAGAACAATAGTCAATAAATTTTCACTGTTCTCAAATTAAAATTTCACAAGAAAATAGTGAGCCTTATTGGGTAGTGATAGTGAAAAATAAGGAAGGAAGGAAGGAAGGAAGGAAGGAAGGAAGGAAGGAAGGAAGGAAGGAAGGAAGGAAGGAAGAAGGAAGAGGGGAAAGGAGGGAGGGAGGAAGAAGGGAGGGAGGGAGGGGAGAGAAAGAAGGAAAGGAAGGAAAGAAGAGGAAGAAAGAAAGGAAAGAAAGAGGAAGGAAGGAAGGAAGGAAAGAAAGAAAGAAAGAAAGAAAGAAAGAAAGAAAGAAAGAAAGAAAGAAAAGAAAGAAAAGAAAAAGAAAGAAAGAGAAAGAAAGAAAAAGAAATAAAAAGAAAAAGAAAAAGAAAAAGAAAGAAAAGAAAAACCACCCATAAAACCAAGAGCTTTAAAAGAAGAAAAGTCACTACTAGGTAAATGTTGTTAGTCAAGTTATAATAACTACCTTTCCTTTCCTCTAAGTGGAATTAATTCTAACATATGTTCAACCTTGTTTCCTAGAAGTCCCCAGTGGGATGAGCTCCACCTGCCCATTACAGTAACTGCTTTATAATGGATTCTTTACTGGTTCCTTGCCTAACTCGCTTCTTCACTTCCCCACCAATATTCTTTGTGATCACCTCCTGTGTCTCAGAATGTGTTTCACAGGGAATCCAAAAAAAGACACAGCCCAAATATCTGTTTCATGTTACATGTCCCTACCCTCTTCTCCTCAAAAACATCCATTGTGTCCCTAGGCGCCTTGGGTCAATGATTGCTGGTCCAGACCCACCCAAAAAGTAACCAATTCTTTGTTTTCCCCACAGCCAACACTTGCCCCTCCTGTAGTCATGCTCTTAAGAATCTTATCTTTGCTGAGAAACTGAACAAATAGAATAGGCCATGATGTTCAGATGCAGCTTGTTTTGCTAGAAACAACATATTAGGAAAATCAAAAGATCTTGTACTAGCTTTATAATTCACTACTTTGGTACTCTCAAATATCCCTTTTAGGTTCAAGATTTTCCTTGATGAAATGAAGATAATAATACCTGACTACTGCAATTAGTTATAGGGTATAAAAGTCTCTGAGAATTGGAAAATTTAGTGGGAATAGGACACTATGTTCAAGCTTCCCATCACAAAAGCTGCTTTTAGTGATAGTATAGCCTAGCCTAGTGTTTCAAAGCTCAGACCTTCAAGGGTGAAGGTGAATATGGGGATACTAAGAGCCTAATGCATTGATGGTGGAAATAAAAATAGGTACATACAATCTAGAGAGAAGCAATCCCAGGTATTTAGTCTATTAAATACATGCATATCTATAATTAAATCCTGGTATATATTCCAGAGAAATTCTCACCGAGGTCCATGTCGGGGTATATGAAAAGACATACATCATAACCATTCCTGGTAGAGAGAAGCTACCTGAGACACCACCCCTGGGGCTGGTACGTCGGCCATATTTGATGAGGGCACACTATGCAATCCACTAGACATTTGCAGAGAAATGTAGATAGAATGCAAAAACCGTAGTGCTGGGTGAAAAGAAAAAAAAATGGAATAAAAACGATAATGCCATTTACACTTATTAAATATATGGGCAGACAAAAACAATGCATATCTTCAAAACATATATAAGAATACATATTTAACACATAAGAATGTGTGTCTACAGCAGGGGAAGGGAAGATAGCAATTGTTATAAAAGGTCATTTAATTAATCACCTAATCAAACTACATAGAAGAAGGGCCTTGCCCAAACTTATAATTGCAACCTGGCATGAGCTGGGAATATGATCAACTTAACCTTTAATATCCAAGGTCAAAAAATTAATTAATTAATGATTGAATAAAAGGCTTGGACTTGGAATCTGACTGGATTTTTATTTCTGCCTATACCACTTACTAGCTTGATTTAATCTATTGGAGCCTGTACTTACAAACATAAAATGTGAATAATAATATTCACAGACATATTGTGGAGGTTAAAGTAAATTTATGTGAAGGACTTGGTGTGTCGCCTGGCACACGATAAGAGGACAGGTGTTACCAAATAGCATTTGGGGTCCTGCTGTCCACCGCCACCCTCTAGGCAAAATTCCAGAAGCAAAGTTTTGGTGATAAAGGAAAGGAGTCTTTATTCAAAAACTTCACAATTTTTGAATAACAGCTTTCCACATGCATTAGTCACTTAAGCTTATCAATTAAGGCTAAACTTTTTAACACCTGAGTTCTCTTATCATTCCCTGTTAGTTTTGTCTTATTTCTATACGGTTAGTTTACAGACTAAAACAATACAAGATACAAAACCTACACAGCTTTGGAAGAATGGCAGGCTTCTGCCTCAGAGCTTGTCCTCACTAGAACACCCAAAGAAGAATAACCCAGCCACCGTCCGCCAGGCCAGCCCGATTCTAGGCTGCACCTGGAGTTCCTCCCCATCCAAAGTACCATCTGTTGGGAAATGCAGGCAGCTGCAGCACCATCATCCAGATGTCCCTGAGGAAAAAGAGAGCCCAAGAGCCAGAGAGCTAGTCTCTGCCCCCTTTATATTTGAAATCTTCTCACCCATAATTCCATGCACACTGGAGACATTCAGCTTCTCAGCCAATCCCATCCTCGGCTGGTTACCATTTTCTCGGGCAACCTCCTCCTACAGCCCCTCCCTGCTTCTCCCCAGTGATCTGATCAGATCTCTGTGTGTCACAGTGAATACTAGAAATTATTATCAATAATCTAAGGTGATGGTTCACACAATTTAGCAGGTTGATAGAGAAGTTTTATTTGGAGGAGGAGAGATGAGCAGAGAACTTTACTAAGACTACACTGCTCTTCACCCAGTAATTGAGAAGATGATGAGAATTGTACATTTCCTGGTGCCAACTGATGACTGGCAATGAAACACCCCCAAATGGTGGGTAGAGAATGAAGGGGGATAGTTATTCATCTGTAGACAACTCTTTCCGCTATGCCCTGAGTGGGATGATGGGGTGATAAAGCAGTCGTCTGAGGGAGCTATGGCTCAGACAGAGTTGACTTCAAGGGAAACAAGGGTTATGTGCAAAAGGTAAGTAAGTGAGCCATCACCAAGTGTCTTCTCTGTTACCAGGAGCTCACTGTCAGAACTGCAGGGGATTCTTCCATAGTGTGCCTTGCCCTAGACCCCCAGGCTACTGGGGTGATGACTGGGCAACACTGAGCGTGGCCAGTGCGTGGGCATCAAGTGCGCCGGCAGGTGGGCTCCCGGGATTGCCCTCAGGGCATGGGTTTGCTCGGGGGTCTTTGCTGCTCACAAGGTTTAGAGCACGGACTGACTTTGAGGGAGCCTTTACAAGAATCAAGGGGCAATATTGGAGCCACTGCCATAACGCGACAACCAGCATCACCAGCCAGCCCCGGATACACAGCCTGCCCCGGCAGCACAGAACCCCGGCAGAACAGGAAAACGGTGTTCTGCAAAATACCAATTCCCTCATGTCCGAGATCTCTCCAATGAACACCTCAATACTAATATCTTTGGAAAGCAGGCAGAAACTCATTTTTTTAAAAGTTATTCTTTTTCTTTACATTTAAAAAAAAGAAAAAGGGGAATAAAACCTCATTCAGTATGTAATGTATGCATTAAATAAAATGTGTTGAAAAAGCCACAACCATTGTTCTATTGACCCACAAGTCTTTATTTTACTTCTAAATACAGGGGCACCTTAGTATTGCTGTCAGCTTAATAGAAGGCATTAAAGACTAATAGTGATGCAAGAAGCTGTAAGTAAATCTGCATATTATTGAGTACTGAAATGTTATATGCTTACAAGAAACTTTTTTTAGTTCCACTGCTGTATTGCTAAAGGGAACATTAATACTGAAAGAGTAAAAGTTAAATCTAGTAAATGATTAGCACCAGCATTCTAAAACTCTTTAGCGCAGCCTGGGTTTTAGCTTCTGCTCCAACTTCATTGCTGAAAAATAAGAAAAAATAGTAGTCAAGTGATGGAGATAAATATTTATTTTATAAAAAGTATACCCGAAAACTTATACAGTAATATTTAGGCATAGCATTTCTTATTTTTTAAAAATGGTTTATAGTAAAAAAATTTTGTTTATTTTTTCTCTGGCAGCTGTTTTCTCGTTACACAATTAATGGCATAGTAAAGCCATGCAGCTTAGTTTCACTTCAGACTCTCTGATCCTGGCCCCCTGCAGAGGGTTACAATAGCTTTGAAGGGCTTTGCAGCCGCAACAGCATTGCCACATGCTGTATCCCACCCATAATCCCTCACCTTTCCACCACTTGGCTGCTGCCTTCCCTGTCTTTTAGCATTCACCGCATTAGTCCCTAAAATGTAAACTATAAAACAAGGGGGGAAAGTGAACTGGGATGGAATTAAGTCCCAGCATTTGCAAAATGGAACACTACGAAAGACAAAGACTGAATAAACCTCTTGCCTTTTTGTCCCATATATTGATTCAATTGGCTTTAAAATGTAGTTCTGTAGTAAGGAAGTGATTCTAATAATTTATTAATCCATCCAATATCTATGTGTTTCTATTTGATAGTGGTTGACTGTCTAGAATATATAAGATAAATATAACTGAATAGAAATGGATATGAGCAGATCGAATAATTCAAGACAAAAGTAAAAAAGAAAGCATTGGACATGAGACCAAAAGAGAAATTTAATTCTAAAACATGACTCTACTAGACTGTAATAGAATGACACCAATGGAAGGAAATGACCTTTATTTCAGGTGTCAACTCATGGCTGACAATGGGGCATTCTGAAATGGCTGGTGGAGAATGAAAGAGGTCAGTTGCTCTTCTGAAGGCAACTCCTCCTGCTTTGCCTTGAGCTGAATCATAGCGTGAAGAAGCTGTGGTCTGAAAGAGCCGTGGCTTCGAGCTGGCTGCAAAGAGAACATGAGCTATGCCCTAGGGGTAAGTGGAGCAGACAGGAAACCTGACAATGGTACCGCCAAGTGGCTGACTAGAATTGTGAAAAATTGATACATTCTGTATGATTTAGGAAGAAACTGCATTTGTTAGACTGCAAAGAGGAGTTAGAGAAAGAGCTGCTAAAACAAAGGGGTAGCTCCGCTGATTTGTTCTGGCCAAAGAAAATGAACAGTTATGAAATAAATGAGTTGTAGCTTTCACCATCTGGGATTCTCTGAAGCTTTAGAATGAAAAGAGGAAATGACTAAATTACATCTTTTCCTGTTCTTTATAACAAATAAAAACTATAATTTATTTAGATTTTCCTGTAAGTACCAACACTTGATAGCTAGTATTACAAGAGATTTAAAGAAATCATCATGATTTGACTAACGATTATTAAATGCTATGTATTTTATATGCTAAGCACTTTATATGCATAAATGTAGATCTTCACCATAATCCTTTGATCCCATTTTACAGAGAATTAAATTGAGGCTGAAAAAGATTAAATATCATACTCAAGGCCACAGTATTTGAAATTAAGCCCTAGTCTTTCAATGTTTTCTATTTGTTTTTGTTCTTGTAGTCATTAGTTTGTCTTAGCAACACTTAAAACATATATTGTATTTGACTTGTCATCAGAAAAATTTAAACAGAAGACATATAAAGAAATACTTGTAGACATGATTCTAACTTTAAATAAAACATTGGATTAAATGCCTTCTAAATTCTCTTTCAGATACAAGATTTTATAATTATGAGACTAATTAAATCAGGTTGAGGAGGAACAGGTAGTTCACCCTCTGACACCACGCGGGCAAACCCGGCACTATTTATTTCTCAGATGCCCTGAGCCCACTGGCAGAACAAAGTAATGTCTGGCACCAGTATTCGGCAACTGCTTTGAAGTGATGCATTATGCTGTGACAGGTGTAGTCATGGTTTTAGATACTCTGTGAACTTTGTTACTTTCTATCACCAATCTCAATATAGGTAAAGAGCTAAATAACTTGAGATAAACAAAGGCTGACATTTAAGAAAGATGAAAATCATTAATAAAATATAGAAATAAATTCTTATTTTCAGATAGCGTCCTGTTAGGAAAGGCTCAGTATTTTATTATGTGGTCAGTTGACCAACACACTTATTTTTGGATATAATAAAACATAAAGAAAAACTTAACACATGTAGAAAGTCATTATTCTGAAAGGAGTTGAATACCAAAAATATTTTTATTTCAAGTTTACTTTGAGTAATAAGTGATATAGTATTGTGAAACTTTAAGCCAATGTTACAGAAAGCATTTTTTTATTAAAGAATGTGCAGTGTTTGTTTATTTCTCAGCCCCTCTTAATACAAAACCCTTTATGCATACTCCTCTGCCAAATGAAAACAAAATGATCAACATATGGGCTCTTGTAAAGATAAAACCAAACTTCATATATGCAGAACAAAAAGTAATTTCCAGAAAATGTGTATCATAATATTAATTGCTACATATTCATTTTTTTCTGAAAGATTTTAAATGTGTTTTGGGCATTTACATAACCACTAACTTTGGTGTAAAAACACAAGATCTAGTACTAGAATTTATTGTCCATAAGCCAGAAGCTATAAAACATTCAGTAATTAAGGTCTTATAAAGACAGCATGATAGATAGAGAATGCAGGTACAATGGACTCTAGAGAGCACAGCATTGAACCTGGGGTCAAAAACATTTAATATCTGGATGACCGGAGCTCCAAATAGCTAGTTATTAACATGGATGTTATATTGTTTGTTTATCTTGAAAAACTAGCACACAGAGGAATGTAAGTCATTCCGGCTCCTGACTTTTGCTCAGCTTTGCCATGACACTACACTACAAAACCCCGCATCAATCTACTGAGATGACTTTAAAGGAGAGACCCCAAAATTGTCAACACTGAACTTCTCCTACTGTAGATTCAACTAAGTGCCTAGAAAGAAAAATAAGTGAGGCTTCTTTTTTTTTTTTAACTCACTACTGCAGGGTAAGACTCTCTCAGATTTCAGTTCTGCCCCTTGACAAGCAGGTGTAAGGACAAATGGAAATTAAAAATAAGAGGCTTAATTCTCCTGTTGAAAATAAGGGAAGACATCTCCCATCCTCTCTTCTTAGAGCACTTACTTTAGAAAACTTGTCACTGTGAGAAAATTCTCCATTCTTTAAAATGCATGTAAGTCCTTCTGAAAATCAGATGGCTATTTTGTCAGCTTTAAGACTCAGAAGAGTCTTTCTCAAGGACTTGACAACCAAGTAAACATTCCAGTGAGATAGCATCCCTATCTCCTAGTTTTTGAGAGAGGATAAGAGCCTACCTATAGCTGATACCTGATTCCAACTTAAAAAACTACCTCCTGTGATAAAAATGTGAAGTTTATTTTTCCTTTGTGTAAAAGCCAATTAACTGACACAGTTGGTCACCCCACTCACCAGGTGATAAAGGATAAACTATGTGTAATGAATAGTACTGTCAAGCCCTCTTACTTGAAAATGAATTGAATTATTATTTATCTTGAGAGCATGTATATATGCTTCACTATATGAAGGGTGAGATTTGTTCCTGACTTTGCAATCTCTTAGTGATTGTCTGTGATGTTTATCACATTCTGGTTTAATGCTTATTCAATAATAAAATTGTTTTTCTCTAGAGCTTTTCTGAAGATGACTTCTGGTTTAGTGGTGGTCTTTCTTTCTTTCTTCTTTTCTTTCTTTCTTTTGTTTGTTTTTTTTTTAATTATATTTTCCCAATACAGGCTGGGGCTTAAAACACAGGAAATTCATTTTGTTAGGGTCTCCTGCTGCCAAAACTGGCAATAGGGATGCCCTTCACTTTATTATAATATTTCTTTGCCTACCTGCATGCCTGGGCAAGGTGCTATTAATTCACGAGCTCTATTAGATGTCTTTATAAGGCAAATTTACCCCAGCCCCCTGGCCAGTTGTCTATCAAAGCATATTAATCTTCTTTTGATTAGCAGTGAGTTATATCCATACTCCAAGTTCTTGCCTAAGATTACAACCTTGAACTCTTCAATCCGAGATTTATCAAAGCTTGACTTTGAGAAGTAATGTTTAGCATAATTGACTAAAGGGAATAGAGTGAGCCCATTCTTGATAGTTTCATTTTTACCCTTGAATCAAACCAGAAAATGAGACTGGCTTCTATGGACAAGTCACTTATTTTCTCTTTTTTATGTTGTCATCTGGAGGATAAAGATAGATGAATAAGACTCTTGTCCCATTAGATTAAAACTTTAGACATCAAAAGGAGATTCTGGAACTCAAAATAATATGAGAACAATAAAAAGCTTATACACACCAAATCATTCATAGTCACCTTGCTAGCAGAACTGTGATCTCGCCAGCCTTTAAATGTTTATCAAAATTCGCAAAGAGAAAGAATAAGAAAACAAGAGAAGGATTTGCCAGGTATGTGTTTTATGAGAAGCTAGTAAATGATTAGCTCTCAAGTGGTATTAGTAAAAAGTAGACCTGAAAGGTCAGAATCAAAATGCATCCAATAGTGTTTATGGAAATCAATTGACCCTCAAGTTAAAAACAAAACCAGCCTAGGGCCACACGTAGTAGGCAGTATGAAAATGATGTTCTGACTATATTTTATTCCCCAGTATGACTTTCACAATTAAACCTGTAGAAAGAGAAGTGGCTTATAGAGTGGTTGTGGATCAAAGAGATGCTGAATTCCCAAAACATGATGAATACAACCAGAAATAATTATTGCTACTAGAATTTATTTTCTTCTAAGTAATCCTACTCAAAAATCATTTATCTCAGGCAAAGCATTTGATCAGAATTAGATGGCGTCAGCTATATATCTTCTTGGAGATTACTGCACTGGTGTGAATAAATGAAAGTTATGAAAGTGACCTACTTTGAAAATTGATCAGCCAGCTGACCACAGGGGTCAAATTGATTATTTCAGGATCTCATCTGTTTGTATGAGGGTTCATCAATGACAAAGTTTTTTTTTTTTAACTTTTAGAAAAACAACTTATTGATTGACTTTAGAGAGAAAGGAAAGGAGCAAGAGATATCTGTTGTTCCACTTATTGGTGCATTCGTTGGTTGATTCTTGTGCCTTGACCGGGGATCAAACCTGCAATCTTGGTGCATTGGGACAGTGCTCTAACAAACTGAGCTACCTAGCCAGGGTGAGCAAGTACTTTTATAAAGTGCCACTTAAAATGCTAAATAAAACATTCTTTGGAATTTACCAGCCTCCAGAATCAGCTTGCACCAAAAGCTATGCCCAACCTTAGCCTAAGTATTTTCCAAACCTGAGTGGAATACAAAGAAAACACAGAAACAAAGTGTTAGGTTTTACTTAAGAAATTATAGTGAATTTCAATAGAACAGGTCTCTCAAAATTACTCTACAAGCTAAAGCACATGTAAACCTTTTTGACAGATATATATGGCCCAAGTTTTTATTAATTCAAAGCATTCCCTGAAACTAATTTTTTTAAAGAATTCTCCTGCTTTACTTTTGAGGTTTTGTTTCTATGATTGAATAACTGATTGTTTCGCTTTCCTAAATTGCCAATGAAGAAGCTAGAATTTGAGGATCTCAACTATCGTTGCACGTTTGAATCACTAAGATTTGAAAACATACCAATGTCTTTGTCCACCTCCAGAGATTCTTGATTCAATTTGCCTGAAGTGGAAGCCTATTCCTGGGACTTTTATAAAGGAGATTCTAATGTTCTGCCAGACTTGACAACCACTGAACTAGATGGTAGTGGAATTATTTTGAGTTAGTTCTTTTTTCAATGTACTTTTACAATAATATGAATTATGAAAACAATGAACAGGAGGTCAAATCAAATAGATCTGAGGTATGTTTGTTTTAAATGAATTACTAAACTAATTTTTTTAAAAACCTAGAATCTATAAATAGAATAATGGAATACAAGAAATGGGAGTATTGTAATAAAAACAGACAGACTGCTCTCTTTAAAAAATGGGAGAAAACCTAAGAGGTAAATTTTGAGATCCAATAAAGACTTCCTCCATAATTATTTATTTGTACTGGGTAGGTAACTGGAATGCTTTACTCCTTAGGCCATATAGTCATAGACCAAAATTGCTATATAAAAACAGATAATATTCTTGATTGATGTCATGCAGGTAAATAACAAAGAGAGGTTTGGGAAAAAAAACAGAGATCAGTATTACAGTCTGACCACATATCATAAGGATCTGGAAAATGTGTTAAATTGCTCCAAATTGTGTATTTGTTACTAAGAAGTAAAATACAGAACACTAGAAGCATACAATGTCCTTTTGCTTAATTATTTACATTTTCGTATTATCTAACTTACTGCCTCCCACAACTGCTAAACTTCAAACTCTAGTTTCTTTTGTGGTGTTTCCATATACTTCAAATACGAGATTCAATTCATTTTTGACAATATTACTAGCTTAATTTTGTTTTTCCTCTAGAGTTATGATAATTGGTGCAAAAATGCCAATATTACAATACCTCTTCCTTATTCTTTTTTCAACATAGTGTTTCAGGATTACCTAATATTCAGAAATTGTTAATTCAGTATTTATTATTACAGTTGGATGTTTTTGTTATTTATTCAATCAATTGATTTTCTATTATTGTGTAGAAACATTCTTATTGTATAGATATAGCCTATATAAACCTCAGCCAAAATTATTGTTTCAAAGAAAGAGAATATTTGATTGTTGTTTTTGTACATTCACCTAGAATGTGCAAAATTTATTCAACCAGTCTTCTCTTTTTGGAAGTATATAGTTGTCTGATTTTTATTTCTTACACCATTTTTCACCATCACATTGAAAGGGCTAACACATTTGACAAAGAGTTAATATCCTTAATATATAAAGGGAGTTTACAATGCAATAAGAAAAATATAGCCATACCAGTAGATAAATGCATAACTTAATGCAAAAGCAAAAGAGACAAAAGTAACAGAAAATACAGAATTTTTAAAATGCAAATTAAGACACAGGATAATTTCTCCTTTTACATTGCAAATATTTTAAAATATGATTTTAAATGGGAGATAGATTTAGCTAATACAAAAGGAAGTTTAGATGAAGATAGAGAGCTAGCCAGGGTGTAGTAGAGTGCTCCAGAGCACAGGTTTCAGGCAGTCAGATCTGGATTCCTGACTGTGCTCTGTCCACTATGTAGCTTTAGCTGATTTCCCTCAGCCTCAGTTTCCTCATCTGTAAGATGGGAATAATAATACTACTCAACTTATAATGTTCTGTGAAGATTAAGATAATGCATATAAAGTGCATAACACATTTTAACACACAGTAAGCTCTCAATAAATTGGCAATTATAATAATTCTCGATGCAACAAGTGTACATGAAAACAGGAATTACAACAGGCTTCTGGTAGGGTGATTTGCTACAATTTTTCAGGAATGCAATTTGGCTATATGTATCAAAACTCTTCCATATGTTTATACTCATTGAACCAGTAATTGTGTTTTTAAAAAAAATCAGAGGATATAAATCCACACCTATTCTTAACATACCTTTTATGTTTTAATGACTAATATTATAATAGAGAGGCACATTGGTCTTGTATGGTACAGCTTTTAAAATTTGCAGAAATAGGATATCAGTTTATGAAAAGTGAATGATATGGCCTAAATTGTGGAAAAGATACTTTGGGAAAAATATTCAGATTTTATTTCGAATTTTATTATTTCTACTTCTTTTGTACTATGCTTTCCCCCCTAAAACTGGAGTCTGCAAATTTGAGCATGACTCATTTGTGAGGGTATCTGAAATGAATGGGTGAGCTCACTTACTTCTATCTTAAAAACTTCTTTAAAAAAGTTAGCTTATTTCTTTTTTATATTTATCACTTTGCTTGAGAGGATTTAGAAGAAGAAAGCATTGTTCAATTATTCTTGCTGTTGAGTAACAAAATTTTTTTAAAATTTTACAGAATTTTTCCTTTTTTATGTTTTTATGTTTCTGTTATAACAAAAGTAAAAATGAGTTTTTAAAAATGTATTCTTTTGCCTTTCACTCAAAGTTTGAAAGTAGCTAAACATTTACATGAAATTTATAGGCTATGTTTGAGCTGGCATGCTTTTGTCTGTATGCTATTTGCCACATGCAAAATTCGCTTGGGGGTCTGGAAACTGAGATACCACGAGATACTGAACCTCTGGCTAAGAAGATAACTATCAGTATTAGGGGACATCTACTGACCCTCTAGGAAAAAAGGCATCAGTGGCTTCACAATGAATCCAAAGAGAAAATCACAAAGATAGTCAGGATAGAAGGAGTTAGTTTGTGATCAAGGTGTTACCCACATGAGAACCTCTAACAAGGCCACTTTTCACACTGAGAAGCAGCAAAAATGTACTTATCAGATTCTTCTTAACAAAATAAAGTGGGCCAGTTAATTCTTTCGTTAAAAAAAAAACAACTCACAACTGTATTAATATTTTTAAAATAGGGTTAGTTTATTTCTACAATCTAACATTGCATCGATATGAATGGACAAGTAAATCTCCAATTATATCTTACATTTACCTCTTTGGAATCAAGAGTTTCATGTTCAGGAATAGCCACCATTGGATGACTCAGCTTCATAGAAAAGATGCCCAGGATGTGATGAGAGATAGAAGTAAGGAGAAATAAATGTTTAAATTTCATTTAAATAGTTAAGCAATGGCATAAAGTATACTACTGTTGATCATAGTAGATTCCATCAAGTGTAAACATTAAAATTTGATTGTTATTAAAAATAAAGCAAGATATTCTTAACATAGAAAAAATATTTAGAGGATGGTGAATACTTGGAACATAGGCCCTCATCTAATTTGATTTTCTATTTCATATAAACTCTAACAGTGCTTGGCATATAGCATAGACAGTTATTAAATGTTTATTAAATTAATGAATTATTAAAACACACTGACAGATATTACAAGAAAAAACAAAGTTGTATTTATGTGTCAGCTCTCACAATAGGCCTCAAATTGACAAATGCCAAAGCAAAAGAAATAAATCATGCTCAGGCCCACAATAAAGGCATATGTATCTACAGATGTAAATAAATGCTTACTTGGAATGTAAAGTATTGTGCTTTATTGTCATTGTTAATAATCTCAATATACAAAGGTCTTCGTAATCATTGCAATCTTAACAGATGATATTATTATAATGTAGTGTACAACATAGTGACACTTTAACAGAAGGGAAGTTCTTCTGCTTATGTAAGAATTTTGATTATTTCATGGGCCTTCTGAGCACTATGCATGCACTTAAACCTATTAACATAGAAGAAAGTCCTAGAGACACAAGAGAAAGAGACAGAATGAGGAATATGCACACACCAAGATATAAGAAGAGCAATCATTTGTAATAAATCTATTTTTTTTTTGTCTTTATCATATCTCCTCACTCCAGCTTTAGGGTAACCACCATACCCATTTTGACAATAACATTCCCGGTTTCTGCTATTATGCTAGAAAAATCAGGAAACAATTGCCCAGGAGAATACCATCGCTGGCTATGAGGGAGGCCAAGGAGACATCCATCACATTTCCTCAGACTTCCCTCTGTTCTGGCAGATTTTCAGGAATGGAATCTGCCCTTATTTAAAGCTATAGCTTTACAAAATACCAGCCATTACACCCGGTTCCCAGCTATGGAATCCTCTGGGTACAACATCAGGACTCCTTCTAACTACCTGAGACCATTGCTTTAAATAGAAGTACAATCTGACTCCTGAGCCAACTAGAGATCTAAACAGCATTCCAAAAATCAGCGGAAAGCACCTATTTTCTCCTATTCATCAGGATCCCCTGCCTGGCTTAAGATCAGACCCTGTGTGCTACTGCAAACCTCAGACCCAGGTAATTGGTCCTGGAGACAGAAGAATTTTTAGCATACCTAAGCTAAGGGGTATGGTAATTATATGACTCATCGGAGCACAATGTCAAATTTTCGTTCTCCTAGTCTCCTAAGATTGGACAGGATAAATATTCTGAAATTTTAAAACATTGGAACACTTCCAATAAAATACTTACTGAGATTAGAAAAGCAACAGAGCAATTATGTGATAGCTACTTTTACATTCCATTCTTTCTTTTCAATATAGGTATTTATTCATTTACATTTATTTCATTTTAACCTTGAATTTCAAAAACTATGTGTTAATTATCTTAATCAACAAAAGAGAACAAAAAATGACTGTTTCTAATTAATTGATAATCCCCAAGTCATTTATATTTGGCTTTGTAATGCTTTTTTTCTATTTATGATCTTTTTATTATCCTCAGGTTGACCAAAAACACTAAATAAAACATGATATTATTAATTAATTTAATCATAATCATTTATTAAATTCTCACATGATAAACTCATTATACATATTTGTTTATTTGTTTTTTCACAACAACCTAGAGAGATGAGCATTAATTTTACCATTTCACAGATGAGGAAACTAAAACTGAAAAAGAGAATACCTTATTGAAAGTCCAGAAGTAGGAAGGGGCACAACCATGATCATAATCTAGGGTGACAGTCCCCAGAGACTGTGCTTTCCAAGCAAGTAGGAGGTGGCAGTATGCCACTGAGAAGATATTCAGGAGATGGGAAAGGGAGAGACAAAGGAAGGGAGTGATGTGTACCGTTGTGCAAAAGGAAAAGCCACATAGTAAAGGCGAGAGTGTCCCTCTCAGAGATAAAAAGCACTTCACGAGTGTCTGGTCTATCTATAAGAGGTCATGGAAGAGACATACTACAATGTAGCTTGAATGTCAGAGAAGAAGGCTGGGCTTCATTCTCTAGGCAGTGAGAAGCCACTGAACTATTCTAACCGAGGAAAGGGCATGTGTGATCAGATCTTCATTTCAAAACCAACAGTCAATGCAGCTAAAGTGTAAAATATGGATGGGGGAGGAAATTGGAAGATACTTAATTGATCAGAAAGAAAGAGAGAGAATAAAGAAAAAGGTTTAAATTAAAATGTTGCCTTGGAGAAGAGAATAGACTCAAGTTTTTCTTGGTGACTTTAGGCCTCCCTACCATTTAGGATTCGTGAAGGTAGACACATTGTTACTTTGTTGATTAGAAAAGAAAAACTGGGAAATGTTGGAAAGAAATAAGGCTGTGGTAGCAGGATAGTGGGCAGGACAGGGGAGGCCAATGGGGGAAAAGGTGGGACAACTGTAATTGAACAACAATAAAAAAAAAGAAATAATGTTGAATATTGATATCCCTGCTGCATGTAGAGATTTTGTAATGCAAGAGGACTAAAGATATTAAGTTGGGAGAAAAACTAAAATGATGTGAAAATCCTCTTACAGTCAGAATGGAAACGATAAACCTAAACATTAAAATAAATTGTTATAGGTGAATGGCTTGCTATCTATATACAGAGAATATATAGAGAGAGAGTGGGTGCATACTGAAGGCCAAACAGAATCTTTTAACCCTGTTTACTTGATGTTCTGCAGAACTAATGAGTATTTGGTCTCAAAAAAATAAAATAACAAGTTACTAATTTTTTCATCAAGTTATCATTCAACATAGAAGGATGGATGAAAGAGAAAGCTCAGATGAAATAAGACAAAACATGCTATTATCCTGGATGGAGACTTTAGTCCCAGATAATTGTGTAATGGACTAATTAGACCTTTGCTCACTCACCATTGCGGGATCATCGACAAGTCGTATTTGCATAAAATGTTCAGTTTACTTTCATTACACTCGATCACAGCTGTCACTAAATGAATATAAAGCATTTTGAAGTGATTGTCATGAGTACAAGGCTTTCCTGTAAGTGTCACTGCTTCTCCAGATGTAACAGGAACTTTTCTGACAAAGACAGATCAAATTCTCTCAAACCAACTAAAGAAATGAGAACCCTACAACTAGAAGAAAAGAAAATATGCAAAATGTGGTTAAACCATTTAATAAAGTCTCTGATCTACCTGAGAAATAGAGTTCAAACCTCTGGCTTTTGTGAAATAGCTCTCCCTACTGCATGAAGATGAAATAGGTTTTCTTGACTGCCAGAAATTATGACGCTGGGGAAGTGTTGCGAGAAACGTTTACTTTTTTAAATCGCCAACGGTGCTACACATGCTATTTGGGATTGGTTTGTTTGCTGAACCACCTCCTTTTGTTAAACCCCTTTACTCTATTTGTTTACATAAGCTGTACCTTCTCCTTCTGCCTCTCTACCTAGATTTGTGAGCTACTCAAGCTAGAGTGAAACCTTCTTAAGGACATCTCTTAAAAGAGACGTGACAAATTACTGTAGCAATTCCTACATAAAATATTGCTTTTTATAATATATAAGGTTATCATTATGAGATGTAAGCCATAGGAAATCATGCAGATTATGTGCTATTCATCTTTAGTCTTCTGCATCCGGCATGGGTGACCCTCAGCACAGAGTAAACACTAAATGAGCCCTGAATGAATAAATTAACAAGAGAAACAATGAACGAAATGCTTAGAGGAAACAGAGGGTTTTCTAACTTGTAGCAGTAAAGTCTGTATTAGTCAAGAGTCAGGAAGTGTTTGCTGCATTCCTAGAAGTGTCCTCATTTATATGAAACTTTGTAAACTACAGACCTGTGAACTAGAAACTGTCACACACATGTGTTCTCTTTGACCTTCACAGTTCTTCTGCTCCAAAATTCAAGGATCGAATTTTGTGGTCAGTGCTTGAGTTCACATATGGTATTTGCAAGTCTGTGTTTCTCTTGAACTGCTCGATGGTCTCCGCAGTCCTGCAACCATCTTGCTCTGTGTGCCAGCCTGCTCTGTTAGACAAAGCTAATGATCTCCATGTTGACACAGTCCCCCCTCGCCTGCGAAGAGGACGCCAAGGGTGGAGCTAAGCTATTCTTGTGCGTACCCATGTATGTCTGGCTTACTTCACTCATTTAGGGAATCTGGCCTACCAAAACATTGGAGTTTTTAGTCCCTAATTTACAACATATACCAAATGCAGAGTAGGAAGCACCCAGGGAGTCTTATAAATTCCAGACTCTGACACACCAAGTCTGGAGAATGGTCTGAGAGCCTGCATTTCTAAGGGGCTCTCAACTGATGCTAATGCTGCCATAGGTTGAATAGTAAGGACATAACCAACTCTTTTTGTATGAATGGATGCAATTGATGCTTTTAAAATATTTATCTATTCACATCTAAAATTAACTATATTAAAAATATCCTAATCAATTACATGGTATTGCAGTTGTATAAGTAAATAATTTAGCACTTTTTTTTATTAAGTGCCTTCAAATGTCCTAGGTACTTTGCTAGATGTCAGAGATATAATAGTGAACAAACACATATTATCCCTGCCCTTGAAGAAACAGATATTACCATATTGAGCCGTGTATAATGTGCACTTTTTTGCCCAAATTTTTGCAGGAGAAATAAGGATGTTCACTATCCATGGGCATTACTAATTCTGTACCTATATAAAGATTTTTAATTCTTTTATTTATGCTTATGCACTAAAAGTATAACTCTAGAAAGCAATAACGATATCCGTATGCAAAATAATACCCTGGAATATGATAATCAATTTTGTTTCTAAATATAAATAAATAAATAAT